GTTTTCTTTACCATCAAGCGTGATAAGCCGTTTTCTTTTTTTTTTTTTTTTTGAAGATGGAATGTTTTGTGAAGATGTAAGTCATCCTTACATATTCAAGTCACCACTTCTCGCGCATGTGTTTCAAGCTCCTTGATAAACCGAAAATATCTATGAAACGTTCCTTCAATGGGTGCGAGGATGCATCGCAGCTCTCAAGTATGCGTTTACTTTGCCACGGGCTAAACCAAAGACCACCGACAGCTGAAATTCGGTGACTGCGCGGGCGCAGCCTTGCAGCTCCGTGAAACCTATACCCGAGGGGCTAGGCCTGGCAAGCGCCAAAAAAAAGGGAGGGGGGGGGGGGCAGATTACGCGATAGGAGCTGAAGCTACCTGTAAGTCACGAGGTCGCTGCTGCCGCACCCATCGCCCGTCGCTCAGAATGGGGATTTTCTCGGCTTATCCTCTCAGAAGAAGCCGGCGCAAAAGGGGACCTTTCCCCTCGCCTCGCCGTGCTACAATACAAGAAAAAAAAAGTGCGAGGAGGACTTTCCGCAAGGCGGAAGAATATGTCTGCTGGTCCCCCTTTAAGCAGTTTGCATCTGTTACAGAGGCTTTTTTTTACATCATAGCAATTTCCAAAGCAAAAGCAGTGTATCTTTATTTATTTACACTGTATCTGGTAGCATAAGCAGACAATGAGTTAACCCAGCTGCCTTTCAGCAAGTACTCTGCTTGGCGGTGGGCTTTACGACAGGTTGACTCCAGCGCAGGTCTTGTCAGAGTGGCCATTTGCACGTTTCTTGAGGTGAGCCTGTTTTAGGTGAATTTTCAGACGGAAGTGCAGGTACTTGTCAAGAAGCAGCCTCTCATTGTTGACTTCGTGTGCAGAGCACGCTTTGGACACAAGTGAGCTGTTTTTCCTAAGAAAAGCTGCAAAGGTCTTGAATGGTGAAGCAAGGTTCAAAATTTCTGTCGTGTACATGAGGCCCTTGAACTGCTCTTCACATGCAGTGAGAAACTGCATGACTGCATGACCGGGGTTAGGTCAAGTTCTCACTTCCTCGCACACACTCCTTCAGTCTGATGAGGGTGCTGTATTCACCAGTGGAGTCTGACATGAGTGCTCCCTTGCAAGTGTTGCAGTTGATGATTCTCACCACGGGACGGATGAGAAATCCACCTACATATGCGAAGATGTGACCTTCCTCCTTCGTCGTCATGACGAGGAAGTCGTCCATGGTGTCCTCCTCCACATCTGCAGGGTCTTGCAGTGGAGCTCTTCCACTTGTTGAAAACAGGTCTGCAAGATATTCCCCGTCATCTACGGCGTAGCCAGACGTATTGGGTGTGTGGACGAACTGACTAACAGAGATCATCCGAAGAGCGCTCTTGAATTCTAATGCACTTGGCACAGGTTTCTTCAGGCGAACGACAGAAAACACGTTCTCAAGGCAGTCCTAAGTCAGCCGACCCGTGAACAGGTACGCATAGCCGTGGTCGTTGAGCAGATCTTGGAGTTGATAGACAACTGTTGTTGAAGATATGACCCTTGATTCTGCCGGCTTCCAGTTGGCCGTGACACCCATCTTCAATTGCCTGAATGTCCCTGCAGTCAGATAAAGCGTACCAAAGGCAGTCTGATGCTGCTGGAGGTCAAGGTGACTAAGGGCCACGACAGAATGTCTTGACGACATGAAATTTGAACCATCTGTAAATTAGCTTGAAGAACCAAGCGGTGCTTTCTGCCTCGGGTGGTAGCTGGCCTTGGCCCACCTTGTACCGAATGGCAGCTGGTGCGTCTCGAACAAAACTGGACAGCGATATTCACCTGCACTTTGGTGAAGTGCCCCTGACTTAAGTGAACACCCGACAAACCAGGGGCAACCTTAAGGTCTTTCTCTTTGTCCATATCCAGTGACGTTTTTATGTACTTGTGCTTTTCTTTGATGATTTCCTCGCTAAGAAAAAAAGACTAGATAGAAAAAACTGGCATCGAATCTTCTTCAGGATGTGAGCCGCACCTGTCCCAAAATAGAGGCGGCGTCTTTGAAGGGACGTGTGGGGAATGCTGACCACTGTATCCGCGTCTTTAGTGCTCAAAAGATTTAGCTCTCCGCACATAGCCCGGTTCGCCACACCCATGTCACAAGTCACCGCAAGTACGTTTAACCTCGCTTTAGAACCCAACTGCACGAGCTTCAGAACGAAGACTTTGAGAAGCTCGCCATCAAGCGACCGCCCCGTGAAATGGTAGGCCACTACCTGCATCCACAGAGGTGTAACTCCTCGCAACATGAACACCAAAGCACGATTTGCGGCATCATTTTTTGGTGGAAATGCGATGAACCCGTGGAAACAGTCCTGAGTTTGGTCGTGTTGAATGCCTTCGTCAATCTTCATTTCATCTAGGAACAAGACACAGTCTCGTTCACTTTTCTGCATTGGGTCGGCCTTCTTCAATACACTGAAAACCTCTTGGAGAATCCCAAGCGAAAGACAAAGCTCTGCATTCTTCTCATGAGAGTTATGGTGCTGGGAAGTGGATAGCCAATGGTTCGCAGCAGCTCGTAGCCCGCCGTGCCGCAGGTAAACTTAACTTGAAGAGCTTGCTTCACGGTCAACATAGACCATGGAATTCCCCTGCGGTTTTTTTTTTTCGACGAGTATCTTTCTTTGGTCATCAGCCAGGAACTGCGGTTTCTGACCAAGCGTGAGAAGTTACTGCTCTCCGATCTTTAGTTCCTTTAAAACTTGTGTTTGGGCGAGTTGGCTCATACTGATTTAAAAGGTTAAAACGCGCAACACAACAAGGACAATAAAAACACAAAGAGACATAAAGACACATAGCGCCCATCCTGTCGTCTTTGTGTCTTTATTGTCCTTGTTGTGTTGCGCTTCTTAACTTTGAAATTTAGTTCCTTCTTCATGGCGCGGATTTCTTTCTTAGTAACTTCATGATGTAGTTGGAGGTTCTTGTACGTCTTGGTAATATCAATCATAGTTTTCTTTAGCTGAACTCAACAGAAGTTTCCTGCTCGTGCTGACATGCTCTCTGGTGTGGATTCTATGTTGGGTGGTAAGTCATGGTCAGGTGGCGACGTAGTTTCGACTGCTCCTTTTGGCTCCAGATCCATGCGGCCATCTTTAGAGACCTTGTCATCCTCAGAAATCTATTGACCTTCAAAAATGATGTAATTTTACGAAATACAGTCATCCTCAGAGATGCGGTCATCTTCAGAGGTGCGGTCATCTTGCAAAAACGTTTCCGAAGTGGTTGCGGGCGTAAGAAGTTGACGTCTTGCAGGCAAGCTTCAGAAGTTTGTCGCTGTATCTTTGAGTGCTTTGTAAATTTATGAAGTAGCCAAACCTCTTGGCACCAGATCTACTTAATAATCTTCAGGTGTGAGGCCATCTTGAACAAACGCTGCTGAAGAGGTGCTGACGTGTGATGTCCTGTGGTGCTGTATTCATTTGAAGTGTTATTCAAGATCTTTTTAAAAAATGCCCCGTCAGTCGAGGCCTGGACGGGTGATTCAAGAGAGGTTCCAAGCAGTCTATCGGAGCAACCTTTCTTGAAGGCAGTGCTCGGATTTAAGTTCCTGAGAAAAATTGTGTTGCTCGCAGTTGGGCTATCGTGATGTGGGTCCGTGGCTCCCGGCCCTCCAGGCAAATTCGATGAGTCCCCGACTGGCTCGTGGAGTTGTTGCTCTGCAGCTTTCTTGGGGCTTGCAAGCTTGTACATTTTTGGGCAAGTTGGAAGAAACTAAATCGGAACATAGTAGCTACAAGTGACTGTCGTGAAAAGTAAAATTCTTCGCAATAAAAATCATAAAAAAGTATGGTGAGGGAGAGAGGGAATATTGGTGGCCCTAAATATTGTTGACAGTTCACATAAGAATAAAATCGTATAAAGAGCTGGAACCTTTTCGTTTGTCATTGTTTTATTTTGTACATATATCAATTGACACTAAATGACACCCATTTGGTTAACAAAATTTCACGACACCAGAACAGGAGTGTTTGGGATATCTTGAAAACTTCCAAACTGCCCCACATGGCAAGAGGACAGATATATCTCTTGTCTTACCACACGCCGGTCTTGCTTGTTTCAGTGTGTTGAGATTGTCACTTTACTCACCTTGGGAGGAGAACAATGTTGGCACGGCAGTCAGTTTCAGACGCTGCCACCCATCTGCTCGCCGACGCGGCCTACCTACCCTCGACTGCGAGGACACCAGTAACGAACGGGCTGGACTGCAAGCGCCGTTCGCGCGCTTGGGGCTGCCGTGCACCTCGCGGCAATACAGGTTACCGCCGGAGGGACAGACACCTCTGAAGAATAAAGCGGTCGTGGCCCTCATAGGCTTCCTGACGGACAGGGCCAAACAACATAACAAACCTGTTTGGGCCAGACGGGCACACGGCGGAGGTGACGACTGAGCTGCTTCGGCTGTGGGGAGTTTTCGTAGACCGCGTTTCCCCCTCAGCTAATACCTTCGCAGCGATGAAGCCGCTGCTGCGCCTGCGCGCCAATGGCCTTGACTGTAGAGTTCCGGGTATCGTAGTGGGTTGCGGAGAGCGGCGCGAGATGGGGAAATCAATGTACGAAAACCACATATATATGTACCCCTTCCCCTATATCTATTTTTTACCCACTCCTAACCTTCCCAAAAGAACGGTGACACCTGATGATAAAGCTAGTAAACAGGCGAGCTGGTTAAGGTTGCACATCATTAAGAACGGAGACGACAGAAATAATGGGACGTATCTCCTGCTCCCGTTCTTTCCATCGTCTCCGGTCTTAACGAAATACGACGGCGACACGACGCCGCACAGGCGCATAATGACCGATGTTTTGCGCTTTTTTCAAGCCATTCTCTTCTTTTGTCGGTAACTCTCCCCCCACCCACTCCCGTTCTCTAGCGTTCCGCGCTTACTATAGAACTGTACTTTTAAAGTGAAAACAAACCGGATTTGCCTTCGCATCCTTCAGATTCCTGTTGCCACTGTTCGCAGGAAAGCCACTCAGCCCGTCCTGCTACCGACGCTTTGTGCTGCACAATTGCTCAGAAGACACGTCGCTTATAGCGGACACGTTCATTTACAACGAGTCATCTGGTGCCTGCATTAAGCGAGATGGGTCCCAAGGCTGCTATACGTCTCCATTTTACTTAAGGGAGAAGACCGACTGCGACTTTGTTTGTTCGAGCGGTAAGTCACAAAAATGGGGTTGTTCCGTAAGGTGCGCTCGATTTTTAGACATAAGGGCCTGTTCACACACTTAGGTTTGCCTATAACAGAGCTCTTGTGAACTCCTGTGAGGGAAAGACACGCCGGCACGCTGACGTCATCTATGCGGCGACTCTAGAATTTTCATTTTACCAGAGCAAAGGTTTTGCGGTATTTGCAACATTAAATCTACAGTGGCTAGCGATATGAGTTAGAATGCTCAAACGGCGATTAGGCAGTACCGACCACGCGGTGCAGCAGGCAGCGAGCGCAGGGTCAGAACGGCAGTGGGGATGTTCAAATGTGTCTACGCACCCACCGCATGCGATACCTCCCCACTCCCGACACACGCACGGCAGCGTGTAACGGCGTGGTTTGTACTGCCTGCTCGCCTTCTGCGCGTTCTGTCTCATATCGCTAGCCACTGTACCTACTATTTATTAGACACGGTCGTATAGAACATTGTAAAACATTTCAGAGCCAAAAAATATAAGCGCACCTCCCCCCTTTCACCCAAGAAGAAAAAGAGAATGAAACGAAGGGAAATGGTTAATGTTACTTGGCTCTTCAACAGATGGCACCAGTTTGTTTTCTCGCCGTAAGATATTCCAAAATATTTTCAGCAGACTTGGGAAGTCAACTGTTACAAGTAACGGATTACATGTAATCTGATACTTTTTTGAGTAATTTGGTAATTGCCATCTTACATTCTTGTGCAGTAATTGGTAATGTGATTTCGCTTCAAATATCGTAAGGAATTACTTCAATTACTCGTTACATTTTTAAAATTGTAAACCTAATACAGAAAAAGCAATACGATCTTGCACTTCAGCTACATGAAGATAGAAAGTCCAACAAAATATTAACCGAAGAGAAAATACGTTTTTTCGGTTGACCGGTAACTAGAAGCACCAAAAAAGAAACAAAAACGTGCAAGGCATACAAATATGGGGAAAAAGAAGACCAATAAGACAACATGGACCACGCGTTTCCTTTTTGTTCTCTTAGCGAATGTAGACGCTGCCAGGGAGATTTTGCACCGTTAGTTTTGCGTACAGAATTTCATTAATGATTTGCGGCCAAATTAAGCTAGCGGTATGGCGGGCGTGGTTGCAGATTTCGCTGCCTTGTCAGCTTACAGTGAACGGAGTGGACTTACATTCTCTCTCTTCAGTGCAATGTTTTGTTTTCCCAGGGACTACCATAATGCGGGTGTTTGAGAAATTGAAAGTAGTGCTGCAGAGTATTTCTGAAAACAAAAAACTGGTCACTATTCTTTTCTTACTAAGTGCGGTAAAATTAACGTGAAAGTAATTTGTAACGTAATGAGTGAAGTAATCCTTTACTTTTCAGCGAAAGTAATTGAAACGTTAATTCATTATATTAGAGGGTCGGTAATTTGTATTCGTAATCAATTACTTTTTTCAAGTAACGGGAAGCCAATTAAGGGCAGCCTCACGATTAATGCCACGATGCAAATAAAGCGGCCATTCCCGAGACTGTCGACGCTCCTTGAAAACAAATTGCATGACCTCCGGGTGTATTTTATTTTTTTAGCGGCCTTGCCTTGCTTTCTTCTTCTCTCATATTGTTTTTTGAGCCTATTTAATGTTCAATTGCACCTGCGTTATTATTATCGCCCTATTCTTGATGTGACATTACGAACTATAGCAGAATGAAGCTTACACTCGGCGGATCTTGTAAGATGGTTTCACAAAAAATCTTTTCACTTCCAGTAAGAAGCGTTCTGTCATGTTACCGTGCTTGGAACACCTCCCCCACTGGTGTGTTTGCTGTGCCCAAAAAGGTGGTCCCTCGATATCCGCCTTATGAGGTCACAGAAGTCTCATGCTGTCGCCGGTCGCGTTGCTGAGGTGTCTCAGCACCGGGGTATATGTGGCAGGTGCCACTCCTGCTGCAACATAACTCGACCGTCCACGGAACCTTTGGCAGCCAGGAGTTGCGACGCCGCGACAAAAGCGACATTTGACTTTTCTCGTGCCCTCTCCCAGAACTTGTGCCTTCGAGCGGCAAGATCATGGAATATGGCAAAAGAACATTCGGGCTTTCGTGACGTCATTTTTTAGCCCTTCGGCAGTACTGTGGGTGCGTGGGCGGAATAAGACGCTAAAGACACCAGTGGGAGACGCTCTCCAGGCAGCATATTCACGTTGGTGAACAGTGCCCGCAGCTCTATTCATTATTCACCGTTCACCCTTAGGCTGAGAGTAGACGCTCCGCCTTCTGTGCGAACTTTCTGCCTTTCCTAGCACCGGTATGAACGCGCAGGTACGCGCAACCTTATTTCTGCGGAAGCAGGGAGCTCGCTCTAAGGCGGAGCTTCTTGTCTCAGCTCAAGGGTGAATTAAGTATAGTTTGCACGTATACGTTTTGCTATTGTGTAGTATTTTGACGCCAATAAGACGCACGACCGTCGGAAATGACTCCGTCGGCTGCTGAACTAAGGTGGCTGAAGTGCCGTTAATCTGAGGAGAATTGAGGTCCTCTAGTCAACGCTTCGCGGAACACTGCTCCTGACAGCGCCTTCTAGCATTTCTGGGGCCCATCTTCTACTAGAAGAGAAGGCATACGTATTACGCCATCACTAGCAATTCACGCCCCAAGCGGCGCACACGCTTTATTTCGACTACAGTTTCCTCAAAGCGGCACAAACGTTCATCTTGGCGTCGCCGCGACGCTCCGATACGAGATGGCGGCGATGATAACGCGAGCTAGAGGGCGCTGCGGGGGTCTACTACAGCATGCAAACCAGTGTTGCGGAATAGGCACCCCGATTCTATTCGAATTCCATTCCGGGGAATTAGAGTTTTCGATAATTCAATTCCTTTCAATTCCTAGGAATGGAGACACTGAGCCTATTACAACTCCTGGAATGGCTGAATTGTTCCATTCCATTCCTTTAATTCCTAAACGTAAAAATTGGCACTGGACAGCTAATTTTTTTGCCGGCATAAGCACTATAAAGCTGACATTATCAAATGCAGAGTCAACTGCAAAAAAAAAAAAGCTACATTCCCCCCCCCCCCCCCAAAAAAAAACAAACAAAAAAAACACTGATTTTTACTAAGCGGACCACTGGTGGCAGAAAGTGTTTATTTACAATGTACTGCAAACATCGAGAAAGCCCCTTGATATGTCGATGCTTGTTTAAGACATCGGTCTCGCGACCACGTGGCTCGCAATAAGCAGCAAAACTTAAATCCACTCATTTTCTTTTCTTTTTTTTTACTTTTTTGCATTTGACTTTTAAGACATGCGCGGCCGGCGCGTTTGTCTGATAAGACCTTAAAAATATCCAGTTCGTGCGTGGCGCAGGAATAAGCTATATTACTGCATTCTTCAAATACAGCAACACGGCTAGTACACTGCTGGAAGCGACTCCATGCACAGCGGCAAGAACACATCCTCTGACAAAGTGCAACCTCTGTGGAGCAGCACGAGGGACCGTATAGAGTCAGACCGTCACGAAACCTGTATTAAAACACAAGTTCAAGCTTGCTTTACGAATCTCGATATTTCTTATAATCTTCAATTCAATTTTTGGCTGGTTCGCCTGCCCTTTTCCACCCTTCGCATACTCATTCTCGTGTTTCCTCTTCAGATGGCGAATAAAGTTCGATGATATACGCCAACTTCACCGTTTATAGTTTCGTTGCACAACTTTCAGCGTGCAGCTTGTTTATTTTCTTCACGACTAATGTAGAAAAATGTCGTCTACGATGCCATGACTCGATCGGTATTTATCTTGTTTTCTCGTCCAAATTGTGATGTTCCTCTTCGCGCTGATCGAGTGGCGGGTTCAGGCAGCAGACGGTACCAACCGATTCATTCATTCTTCTACCTCGGTTTCGGTTGTTCGCGTTGTGGCGACGGGTCGGGCAGTCAGTGTTCACAAAGCTCTTCACATCAAGATACAATAAACGGGGTAATACCGCACCGTTCGAATTGACATTCCCCGTGTTTCTTCAACAACACCGCCCAACTGACTTCTCACCGCCTCAAATAAGGTCCAGGACGAGGAGCACGAATGCAGACCGGACAGCGGAGACTCGCGGAAGCCAAAACCTCAGTGGCAGCTAGCACCAAGCTCTCCTTCTTGGTTGCCCTCACAGCAACGGTCGCGCCTCGTCTGGCGCGGGACGATCTTTCTGCAGGTCTAGTCAGTTCGGTCACACCAAGAGTGGTGACGATAGTCTACTTCACCTTACGATGGACCTCAACAGACAGCACGAGAGCCATCGAAACCAATCCACTGCCTTCTGAGTGTCGCGTGACCCTGCAGTCCCGCTCACGGTGCTGGATTGCCTAGGGTGACTCGTAGCGTCCGCAGCGGTCCATCGCAAGGTGAAACGAAGTTTGCAGAGACTAATTCAAAGGAAATGAGCGGAAGTCCGCTAGCTTGCTTGTAATCCCAACCCACTAAAACATTAAACACAGAAAACAAGCATCGGAACAAAGACTAAGTAATAGGCGGACTTACACTACAAATGCAGTATAAGAAAAACAAGCCTCGGAGCAGAGCGCCAGAGGAGAAGAGGGAAGTGAATCTCGCTTTGGTTTTAATGCCGAAGCAAACCCATATTTCGCACTTCAAAGGAGTGCGCACGAATGAACGTGGAAGACAGCAGGGTTGGCTGCCTGCTAAACAACACGCCTCGAACAATAAGAAAACAATACCTGATAAGTGAACACAAGGTAAGGGCGCAAACGAGCTGGTGGTGGTTAAACATTTCGACAAAAACCCCGAGACTGGGACAAAAAGGGACGGACAAACACAAAGACTTTGTGTTTGTCCGTTTCTTTTTGTCCCAGTCTCGGGGTATTTGTCGAAATGTGTAATACCTGATAATCTTTCGACGGCGCCCGAGTCAACGGGTTATCAGAGCTCTGCCAGTCTGTGCGCGCGCGTGCATTCTACAAACCGTGGCAACAAAAAAAAAAGCATTACAAGAAGGACGATG